TACAGATCAAGGATACCACTTTAGTTCCGATCTCTTATGAGAAACAGTTGGTTCAGTTACCACTGACTGTAGTAAAAGGCTTGGGCCCAAGCTTGATGGCCAAAAATGGTTGAGAAAGATTTACCTAGATTGACTCAACATTTTTGGAATGAGAAAATGGCTGCCTGCGTGAAGTCCTAATTAAATACCCGGAAGTTTTTCAGGAAGATCTAGGGACTATCAAAGGAGCCAAGGCTACCTCGTACATTGACCAGAAAGCAATTCCAAGATTCTTCAAGGTCCATCCAGTGTCATTTGCCTTATGGGCAAAATTAGAGGCGAAAAACTGAAGTTTGGAAAGTGAAGGAGTCATCAAGCTAGTCCAGTTTGCAGAATGGGCAGCACTGGTCATACGGATTATAAAGCCTGATGGGTCAGTTCGCCTTTGTGGGGATTTTATACAAATGGTAAACCGCTTTTCACAGCTGGAGAAACACCCAGTTCCTCTCATGGAGGATTTATATGCAAAATTGGCAGGGGAGCTGTCCTTCACAAACCTGGACATTATCCATGCATACTTGCAATTGCGGTTTATTAAGAATTCCCAGAAGTATGCCATTAGGCTTTGAACCAATATATGAGACTGCTATTTGGGATAGCATCAGCCTGTTTGGGGTAGCATCAGCCTGTGCAATTTTTCAGCGGACAATGGAGAACATTTTACAAGGTCTATCTCAGATTGCCATTTATCTAGATGACATGCTAATAACTGCGAAGACCAGTAACGAGCAATTAGAGAACTTGGACATAATCCTTAACATTTCTCCCTGGCAGGTATATGCCTCAAAATGGAAAACATGTTTCTTCTAGGTATCCCAAGTAACCTACTTGGGCTACAGAGTCGACAAGACCAGGTTACACCCTTTGGAAGATAAAGTGAAGGCGTTCATATCTGTACCTGAGCTTAGGTCTTTCCCTGGGCTGGTGAACTATTACATAAAGTTCATACATAACCTGGCCTCCATCCTGGCACCTTTGCATCAAGTCTTGGAAAAGGGTCAGCCTTGGAAATGGTCATGTAGCCAAGTCATAGCCTTCAGGGAAGTGAAGAAGCTTCACTTGATGGGGAGGCGATGGCCTAGTGGTATTATTACTAGACTATTAGTTCAGAGACCCAGATAATGTTCTATGGGCATGGGTTTGAATCCCGCCATGCTGGATGGTGGAATTTGAATTCAATTTTTAAAAAAATCTGGAATTGAGAGTGTAATGATGGCCATGAACTGATTGTTGGAAAAATCCATTCTGGTTCACTAATGTCCTTCAGGGAAGGAAACTGCCATCCTTACCTCGTCTGGCCTACATGTGACTCCAGACCCACAGCCATGTGGTTGACTTTTAACTGCCTTTTGGGCAATTAGGGATGGGCAATAAATGCTGGTGTTGCCAGTGACACCCTCATTCTGTGAATGAGTAATAAACACAGTGATATCTTCTAACGTGTTAGCACACTATAATCCCAAGCAAGATCTGATATTGACATGCGATGCCTCCTTGTATCAGGGTAGTGTTAGCTCATAGGTGGCCCAATGGAGAGGAGCACTCAATAGTGTATGCATCAAGGTATCAAGAGATTGGGGCCAAATACCAAAAGTATCTGGAGTTAGGCCACAGATCAGCCATGATAGATAGCAGAATACGATTTAGGATCTGTATGGTTAACACGTGGACTTTGGTTAATGCAGACTGTAAATATGCCCAGATAGAGAAGGAAGGTTTGGTGGTCATATTTGAAGTCAGGAAGTTCCACCAATGCTTGACAGAGGAGGAGAACCCATGGGTTCCAGAACAGATCTTTGAGGAGCTGGGCACTCTTTTCTCCCACACTATTTGTGAGTTTTCAGCTTTCATATGGTACACATGCTTGTTCAGGACCATCGTACCCACCTGAACTTTAAATATCACTGGGCCTGCCGTCAAGCCGACCATAACTCTTACCCATGCAGGGCCATTCCTGTGGTTCCTACACCAAGCTTCATTCTCTCAAGTAAACTGTCTCTCTCGCTTAATGGAGTCTTGTATCCAGCATTGGTGTTTTTCATGTCATTTCACCCTCGCACGCGCCCCCTCCCCCTCAACAAAGGTCCAGGAAGATCAGATTTAACCTGGTGCAAAGTCTTCTCCCCATAGCTGGAGCTATCTCTGGAGTTGCATGAGGGGTGGTCCTATAATCAAATAGAAACCAGTACAGTTTGGTATCTTGTGAAACTCTGGGCTGTTTCTATATTTTTATTCATTCACAGGATGAGGGCATCACTGGCTGGGCAGCATTTATTGCCCACCCCTAATTGCCCCGAGGGCAATTAAGAGTCAACCACATTGCTGTGAGTCTGGAGTCACATGTAGGCCATGTTAAGTACGGCAGATTTCCTTCTCTAAGAACATTAGTGAACCAGATGGGTTTTTCTGACAATTGACAATGGATTCATGGTTATCATTAGATTCTTAGGTCCAGGTACGTATTAAATTCAAATTCGACCATCTGCTTTGGCGGGATTCGATCCTGGGTCCCGAGAACATAACCTAGGTCTCTGGGTTAACAGTCTAGTGATAATAGTACTAGGCCATTGCTTCCCTTGGCAAACCTGCCTTTAAAGTTTGGACTACTCTTTCTGCCAGTGGAGATGATGGCCTAATGGTATTAGCGATGGCCTATTAATCCAGAGACCCAGGTAATAGTCTGGTGACCTGGGTTTGAATCCCATCGTGGCAGATGGTGGAGTTTGAATTCAATAAAAATCTGGAAATAGGAATCTAATGATGACCAAAAATCATTATTGATTGTTGGAAAAACCCATCTGGATCACTGATGTCTTTTAGGGAAGGAAACTGCCATCTTTACCTGTGACTACATTTGACTCCAGACCCACATCAATGTGGTTTACTCTTAATTGCCCTCTGGGCATTAAGGGATGAGTAACAAAAGCTGCCTGGCCAGTGATGCCCTCATCTCATTAATGAATAATTTAATGGAACTGTCCTTATATGTCAATTACCATTCAACTTTAGGAAATACTCAAATTTCCTGCTGGTAAACGATGGCCCATTATCTGTGACCAACACCTTTGGGAGTCCATGTATTGCAAAAGATGGACACAGTTTTCTATCATCTTCCCTTTGTTTGATGAATGAATTCTACGCAATTTCAGCCACTTTGAGTGGGCAGCTACAATGGCTATGAACATCGAGCCCATGAAAGGACTAGCATAATCGATGTGTAACCAAGTCCAGGGTATAGCCGGCCAATCCCATGATTGTTGGCAAGCTGTTGGCAGCAATTTGTGTCTTTGTTGGCACTTCTGGGCACTGCCCCACCAATGCAGCTATGTCTGCATCCAATTCTGGCCACCAGACATAACTTCTCATCAACATCTTCCTTTTGGAAATGCTGATGGAGTTCAGCCAGTATCTGGAAGCAACCTTTGCTTGAGACAATCACTGTTGCTTCCCATTGTAATATGCCATCTGTACTGTAATCTTGTCTCTCTGCATCCAAAAAAGGTTTCAATTCTGGTTGTGACGGCCCTTAGATTTCCTCCTACACCACCAGTGACCGGATGTTTCAGCATCCAAAGTCTGATATTGTCAGCTGTGATTGGAGGTGTGTCCAAAAGATTTAAAACAATTACAGACTCTTCCAGTGGCGGAATCAATGGTGGTGTATCTTCCAGCAGGAGGTGACCTCCCAGACGGTGTTCCAACTTGTAATTATACACACTTAGTATTGGAGCCCAATGCTGAATTTGACCTGAAGGGATGGGGTGCACTGCCTTGTCTTCTTTAAGTAGACCCAGCAGGGGTCAGAATCTGAGATGGACACAACGGATGTCGCTGCCTGAATGCCTTTGCCACCTGAAAAGGATAATTAATTTCTTCCAAGACACTCTGGGTGCAAGATTGTGTTACATGTTGCCCTATCTATCCATCTATGTCCTGTGGCAGTCGTTTGGTGTCATCCTCTCTTGTTACCATACCACCACGTTTAGCACCATCAGCAAAATTTGTAAGGAATTATTTCTAATCTTACTGGAGGCTTTAAAGTCTGATTGAAGACTTTAACAGGAAGAGTAGATAAAGATTGTCTATTCCTACTAGTTTCATACTTGACAACTAGGGGCCACAATCTCAGAATTAGGGCCACAGCATTCAGGAGAGATGTTAGGAAGCACTTCCAGATGCAAAGTGTGGGAGACGTTTGGAACTCTCTTCCACAAATGGCAGTGGATGCAGGATCAGTTGTGTACATCTCAGAGAGATACTTTCTTTGCGAAACAAAGGTATCAAGAGATTGGGGCCAAATACCAAAAGTATCTGGAGTTAGGCCACAGATCAGCCATGATCTCATTGGATAGCAGAACACGATTTAGGATCTGAATGGTTAACACGTGGACAAAACATGGAAACATGTCTGGTGTTAGAGTGAAGAGAGGAATGCCATTGAAACTCATTTATTCTCTGTACCATCATATGCCTGCAGTGATCCTGCACATGGTTCCTAAATTCACAGGATTGGAGAATCAAAGTTCATATCTTAACAGGGTAAAATGCAGCGACAGAGTGAAATGCATCTGCTGATGTTCTCAGATTCAGTGTAAATGGCAGAGAAACCAGTAACATTCACAATATAATGCACAGGAGTGAACATGGTAAATACATTGATGTAAAACTGTGAGTGAAACCATTCCTGTAAGAGCACAACATTTGAGTTTATTCTCATGAGATGTTTAATTAAGAAAATATCCATGACATTGTAGTCAGAGATGTTTGCTTTGTAGTCAGCAAGTTATGACATTGACTCAGAGTTGTTTGTTCAAGTGAATGTAACTTATGACAATGCTCAGAGATATAACTGTGTAGTGGAGAGCTATCCCTGCATGAGTCAGGACCCATTATAAACAATTGAAATAGAGTGTGTGCCAGTGCAGCGGGCTGCTGGAACACAGAAGCTGCTTCTCACAGAAATGGGAGTTTTTGTCATCATTTGGTTACAAGCTATTTACTTCCCTGTGTGTGCAGCTGTTGGAATTACTGGTAAGTTGTTATCACACTGGCACTGTTTTAAGTCAATGTTATTCTTTTTCCTGCTGTGCTTGGTATTATTTTAGATTGTTCGTTTGTGATTTTCTCTCTCTGTTACTGCTGTGGAATCTCCTCAGCTTCTATCCTGGCAGAAACTGCCATACTGTAATGATGATTGTTGATCTGATCCTGGAACAGTCACTTAATGGATTATTCTCTGTTCAGGATGTATTAAAATCAGGTCTCTGTGCCAAGACGAGGAACAAGACCATCAGAAGCTGTTGAATCTTCAGACTATAAGCTGCTGTCATTCATGATCACTCATCTGTCTGTCTCTGTCTTGGTTTCATGTTATTGTCTTCAGTCAGAGCTGATCTTTATTAGTCACAGAGTCATAAAATCATATAGCATGGAATCAGACCCTTTGGTCCAACCAGTCCACACTGACCATGTTCCCAAAGTAGTCTCACCTACCTGTGCATGGTCCATATCCCTCCAACCTCTCCTATTCATGAACATATCCAAATGTCTTTTAAACATTGTAAGTGAACCTGTATCCACCACTTTCTCTGGCAGTTCGCTCCACACACGGACCACTCTCATTGACCTTAGCTATGCCACTAGACCGATAGTTTGTTCCTTCACCACTCACTTATTGTTTGTTCTGTGACAGCTTTGATCTTCATTTTTGGGATGTTCTTTGCATCATATCTGCTGGATTTATAAATGAGTCTATGTATCTATCAGCTATAAATGGCAGTAGTGATGTTGGTGTATCATTCATTGAGCAATGGCACCATCTAGCAATGCATTTTACAACTACAGGTAAAGGTATTTCCATTTTTCTAGGGCATATCTGGAGGAAATGTTCATATCTGTCCAAACCCATGTTTGGGAGCAGAGGGAGAGGTGGGGGATAGTGCCAGCATAGCAGTCCATCCTAGGCCTCCTCCAGTGTCACAATGACGCCACCTGGAAACTGGAGGAGCAGCACCTCATATTCCGCCTTGGGACCCTACAGCCCAATGGCCTAAATGTGGACTTTATCAGTTTCAAAATCTCCCCACCCCCAGCCTCATCCCATGAACAACCTCCCTCTCATCCTTGCCTCCTTGACCTGACACAACCTGTCCATCTTCTCAGGAACAAAAACAAAGTTGCTGGAAAAGCTCAGCAGGTCTGGCAGCATCTGTGAAGGAAAAAAACAGAGTTGACATTTTGGGTCCAGTGACCCTTCCTCAGAAACATCCTCTCTCCCACCTATCCGCTCCTCCTACCTCACCGATCAATCCCCACCAATTCCTACCTGCACTTACCTATCACCATCCCACCTACCTTCCTCAGCCTTGCCCCTCCTCTCTCTATTTATTTCTGAGGTCCCTTCCCCCTCCCCCATTTCTGAAGAAGGGTTCCGACCCAAAATGTCAACTTTCCTGCTCCTCTGATGCTGCCTGGCCTGCTGTGTTCCTCCAGCTCCACATTGTGTTCCATTAACAATAACATGGATTTGCACACAGTGCAAAAAGGATAATGTAAGGAGAGACAGAGAAATAGTTATGAAATATTAACTGTAAGCGGGTGGTGTGTGAGAAAACATTTTCTTGGAGTGAGAGAGTTCCAGTAGTATTAATAATGAGACAAAATTCTGCTAAGCGTTTATTGCATGCAAAGATCATTTGAGAATTTTGAATTTAAAGCAGCAGTACAATAGATTTGTGGTCTCTGTTCTGAGCAGTTTATTTTCTTTAAAGGTCAAAGCGTCATTTGGAAAAGTGAAATAAATGCATTATTTCCAACAGCATTAAGACTTAGGCTAAGTGCCTCACAAAAAAGTCAACTGTCAAATTATTTGCTATGCTGATTTTTATGATTTTGGGGTTTGTTAGCTCAGTTGGCTGGATATCTGGTTTGCGACACAAAGTGATGCAAATAGCATGAGTTCAACTCCTGTTGTGGCTGAGGTTACTATGAAGGATTCTCCTTCTCAACCTCTCCCTTCGTCTGAGGTGTGGTGACCCTCAGATTAAACCACTACCGGTTGTCTCTGTCTAGTGAGGGAGCAGCTTCATGATTTGGTAGGACAATAGCTGCTTTACATTTCTGTGACAAGTAGAAAAAAAAATTAGTCAGGGCCCCTAGTAGTTTGATTTTAACAGAATATGATTTCAGTTCAGAAGCACTGTTTCATCCGAGAAGAAAACAGGTTTGTAAACTTGTAAAATCTCCACATTCTAAGACTTTGTAGGAATGGCTTTCAGAACTGAAAAGGAATCTCGGATCTGGAACTGGAAAGAAATCTCCAGGCCAACTGTTAAAAAGTCAATTTTGTTCAAAAGCTAAGATCAGAGTCAATACATCACTGGGATTAAGTATTCATTTAGGATATTGCTCGGAAAAGGATTGAAGTATTGAAGTCTGCTCCTATGATGCTGCTTAGCCTGCTGTGTTCATCCAGCTCTGCACCTTGTTGTCTCGGATTTTCCAGCATCTGCAGTTCCTACTATCTCTGAAGTATTTTTTTTTGCTGTTTATGTCACAATATACATGTACATACATACTACTTTCCTGTGTGTGTTATTTTTATAAAGAATACTGCAATCTCAAAAGAAATCTTCTACAACTTTGCACCACAGTGAAAAAAAAAAATTGACGGTAAAATTTTGTGATCTATCAAGTCAGGTTTCCCTTTCAGATCTAATATGTCCAGTATGACCATCCGCAAGAATCATGATCAAATCAAATTGTAACACTTCAAGTATAATTATAATTAAGGAAATGTTCAATGGTGATAAAATGAAGAGGTTTTCAAATTTTAAGATATTTATTGAATTAGGAAACTGTTTTACGTCATCAGGAGCTGAATGTGCTTTGCTGAGGCTCCTTTGACTTGTTTATTGAATTAATTATATGGATCTTCTAATTTTAAAGCAAAGTATTCAACAAAGAAATTGTTTATTTAATTAGTATATTTTAACTTAAATTTAGAAAGACTGTGTAGTGCAAATTATCAAACACCTGATATATCTGATGAGGTCTTCTACAGTGTTAGTAAACTCAAACAAAGCCTGGTTGTATTAGATTACATTCTCTCAAAAACAGCTGAGTCTCGGCCGAGCTTTTAAACTGGATTGAATCTTCTGTTGCTTCCGTTTGGACACTTTCTCAAATCATCTACTCCTGCTTTCCACCAGCTTCTCCAGATCAATTTTTTTTTGTCTCCCTCACATTTGCACTCACTGGCTCAGTTTCAGCCTGAAACATTGAAACCTCAAACTCACTCTTATTTCTCTCAGCAATTTCCTTGTTTTGTTTTTACCCAGCCTCTGGCAACTCTCTTACCCAGAGCAACAACACAAGTGTGATACTCAAAATCTGCAAACTACCTGCAGCATAATTCTAGATTTTAAATCTGATGTTAAAACAGCAGATTCCCATTCAATAAAATTCATGACCCCTTTTCCTGCAGTACTTTGTACACAGACAGCAGGAAGCAATTAATGATAATTGTTTTTCAATCGTTTGAGAGCTGTCCAGGGATGCAATGAATATGTTTTTAATAAACAAAAAGAAATGTGGATTCTGGGAACAAGCAACAAAATCAGACAGTGCTGGAGAAATTTGGTATGATTGGCAGCATCTGTGGAGAGAAAGCAGGCTTAAATGTTTTGGGTCTATTGTGAAGAATGGTCACTGAACCCAAAATGTAACTCTTTTATTTCTCTACAGATGCTACCAGACCTGTTGAGTTTTTCCAGCAATTTTTGATTTTGTTTTTGAATGTGTTTTCACTATTTGATGAGGCAACAATCCTAAAGGTTTAATTTTCAATCCTGTCAAACTGCTCATTTTATTCCAAGTCCGATCTTGAATTTATTGGATTCTTTTCCCTCTCTTCCAGTTAACCTGGTAGCAATTGTTATCCTGAGTCGAGGAAAATGTGGTCTCTCTAGATGTATTACTCACTATCTGGTGGGAATGGCAGTGGCCGATTTCCTGGTTGTTATCTTTGATGTCGTATTGAACTGGATTGTCCAAATTTATTTTGTAGATTCATTCCTACAAATTACTCCAGTGTGTAGCCTCATCCTCACCCTGATGGTTACAACCACAAGTGCCTCGGTTTGGCTCACAGTCACTTTTACATTTGATCGATTTGTGGCCATTTGTTGTCAGAAGCTAAAAACAAAATATTGCACCCAGAAAACATCAGCTGTGGTTGTGGGAACAGTGAGTGTGTTGAGCTGTTTCGAGGCATTGCCCTGGTATTTTATATATGAACCTGCATATACCATTCATAATATTCCTTGGTATTGTGTTTCTAAACCAAGTTTTGACACTTCCCCATTGTGGACTGGATTTGAACTGCTTCACCTGATTTTAACTCCATGTCTCCCCTTTGTTCTGATTCTGCTGCTTAACGCTCTCACAGTGAGATCTATTTTAGTGACCAGTCGAGTCCGTATGGCACTGCGGGGTATCAGCAGTGGAGAAATTCACAAGGACCCAGAGATGGTGAACCGGAGAAAATCCATCATTTTACTCTTCAGTTTATCTGGTAATTTCATATTGTTATGGATGATATATGTCGTGTTTAACCTATATCGGAGAATCGCTCCTGATCATTATTATTCCTCTTATTCATATACAAAAAATAGCATTGAATCCATGGGAGAAATGCTACTAATTCTCAGCCTCTGCAACAACACATTTATTTATGCAATAACCCAGACTAAATTCAGGGAGGAACTGAAGAATGCACTGAACTACCCTTTTAAATTCATTCTCAAATCAGCTAAGTCATAGAAAAATCTGCAATTTCAAACAGTAGAATCAAGTCCCATTTCATACTCCAGCCCCGTCTGTCCCCACAGTACAGAAAGTACATTTTATATTCACAGTACAGAGGGCTGTGATCATTATTCTGATGATGACATTGTATCAAGTCCGAGGTTGTAATGCCTTGTAACTTTGTCTGCACCATTTCTCTGTCTCTCCCAGTGGTCTCAGTCTCTGATAAACTGTGCCAGTGCTTAGTATCAACTCGTGTATTGGCTGAGGTTACCATGAAGAACTGTCTTTCTCCACCTCTCCCCTCACCTGAAGTGTGGTGACCCTAAACTATCACCCGTCTTCTCTCTTTAACAAAAGAGCAGCCCTCTGATCTGGTAGGGCTATGGCGACTTCACCTTTATCCATCTGTTGTTGAGAAGAATTGGATAATGTAACATGTATCACTGCATAAAATGTATGTCTTTCTCAGTGTTGGGTTGTATTCTGTAACAAGGTTGCGCTTGTGTCAACATGTTTCCACAGATTGCAGAGTCTGAATCAGTAATGTATGCAATAAGCATCATGCCAACTCGGGAGTCTGTCTGTGTAATGGTGTGTGTGCGTGTGCGTGTGTGTGTGTGTGTGTGTGTCCCATGTTCAAGTCTGCCCTTGTACAAGGTGCCTCCGATGTACAAAATTTGTGACTCCCTTTGAGGAGTCAGCCTTGCCAAACCATATGTACAGTCAGTGACTTTCCCACTGAGGAGTCAGACAGTATATAAAGTGCCCCTATGCACAGAATATAAAATAGGTTCCAAGAACATTCCTTGATATTTTCTGCAGTGATGTGTTGGACTCTATAACACACGGCCTTGTGAACAGTTTGTGACTTGTCCGGTGTGAAGTGTACAATGCTGTCATATGTTACATGTATGTTACACAGTTCTAAAACATGTGTGTATTGGCTCTTCCTGTGTGGAACATGTTTCTCTCCCAGTAAGAATGGGGCCTGGCAATAAGAATTCAATGACAATGTGAGTGTCCCTCAGTGTAGATTTGCACACTGGCACGCATCCCTACCTACATTGTGTGTAAGATCTCGAACACTATATAGTCAGCGTGGTCATGATAGGAACATAGGAGCATAGGGATAGGAGGAGGCCACTCAGCCCCTTGAGTAATTTCCACCATTCAATGAGCTCATGGCTGATCGGTAGCCCAGCTCCATAGACCCGCCTTAATATGTTTGCTAAGGAAAAAATAAAATCTCTCTCAGATTTAAAGTTCACAACAGATCCTGCATTTACTGTTGTTTGTGGAAGAGAGTTTCAACACATGTGCATAGAAATGCTTCCTAACATCTCTCCTGAATGCACTGACCCTAATTTTCAGACTATACCCCTTTGGTCTTAAATCCTCCAACTTGTGAAAATAGTTTATCTTCATTTATTCTGTCTTTTCCTGTTGAAAACTTTGATCAGATCACCCCTTAACTCTCTAACTTTTAGAGAAAACAGGCCTAATTTGTTTGACCTCTCCTCATAATTTACCCTCTGATGTTGAGGTATCATGAGGTGTCTCTCCACATACAGATTCACATTCTGCAGCAAGTGTTCATATCTACAGTGGCTGGTCTTCCTAATGTGGTCTGTGTTAGTGTGCTACAGTTTTCCCTGTCTGCTGTGTGGGGGCATTTCCCAGTGAACCATGCACGTGGAATGATTCCCAGTGTGCAGTTTGTTTGGAGGGTGACACTGTCTGGTATGAATGTTATCCATTGTAGACTGGGAGCCTGTGTAAGTATCCAAGGGACCATGTCACTTGGTGAGAAGCTGAACTGTACATTGAGCATCACTCCAGACTATGTCTGTCTCCACAATGTGGAGTCTGACTGAGTGCCATATGCCCTTTTTCACCCCTTCCAGGAAGCAACTGCACTCTGAAGCTCATGTTATTTTGTAAAGAATGTATCTCCTGATGAGGAACAGGAATCACTGATAAGAATAATTTTATGCAGTTTTCTACCTCTGCCATGATCACAGAATGGTAACAGCACAGAGGGAGATGATTTGGCCCGTTATGTCAGTGCGGATTCACTGAAGAAGTCTTACAGCTGGTGCCCCTTCCCTGCCTTCATCCCTGAAAGATGTGTATTCAGGTAATAATTGACTTCTCTGATGAATGGCTCAATTCAACTGGCCTCCACCGCAATGTCAAGCAGTTAACACCATATCCACCACTGGCTGCGTAAACAAGGATTCCTTCATATCTCAACTGCTTCTTTTCGAATCACCGTTGTTTTGGAGAAGGGGAGATTAAATGAAAGAAAATCCCTGATATTCACTTTATAAGTAACAGTGAACAAATTAACAGAATTACTAACAAGCTGAACAATTCTGACCAAATCTTAACTATTCCCTAACTGAACAAAATTCTACTGGTATGCTATTCCAGTAAACACAAGTCCTACTCATATAACCCAAGTCAAAAGAAAAAAAAAATAAAACTTAGTCTCTCAAAGTCCACACAGAATGTGTCTTCCGGAATGCTCTGCTTTCTTCATCGTCTCCAGTCATAAACACCTTTCTTTTGCTGTTCTCAAATCATAAAACGCCTTTCTTCTGATGATCCGGCTGTCAGGGATGTTTTCTCTGTGAAGTCTTCTGTGAGAACTCTTAGCTAGAAGTGTCATGTTACCTTTCATTGGATAGATGGTGCTTTCTTAGAGAGCTTAGCAATATCTAGTGGGAGTTAGATACTTATTTATCAGATGGTCGTTCGTTCTAGCACCGATTTTCAAAAACCCTCTCCTTATATACTTTGGATGACATATCAATTTTCTTGCAATAGCATTGGTCCGAGGTTGTCAAAACCATCAGATTTAAATTCAGTTAGCTTTCAGTCACTTAGCTATTGGTATAAATTAATTGGCTGATTCCAGCTAGTTACCAAAACATCAAAACAAGCCTAAGGTTTCCAATCACACAGCCAATTGACACATGTTTCAATTTTAGAACTGACTGTGCATCTTCGGCTACATACAGACACTGTTTTTTCTGTATAAATCTCTAAGCTTAGAAAAGCACTTTATCTCTTAAAGGAACCATGCACTGTTCTCCCTTATCATTTTTTACAAACAATTTCCAGCTTCCTGCCTTCCAATTCACAATTATGCTACACAACTTTGTAACATTTTCAATCTGTGCCCACTTCCTCCCAATCCTTCCTCCAACAAAAATCAATTTCTCCTGATCTGCTCTGCCATGTCACCTCATGATTTTGAACACATTACCAAATCTCCTCCCTAACTTCTTTCCTCCAATGAGAACAATCCTACCTTCTCTGATCAGTCAGCATGAATGAAGTTTGTCATCCCTGGAATCCTGTTTTAATCTTTACTGCTCCGTCTGGAATGTGTTTACATATTTCTAAAGGAGGTGGACATTGGTTACTGCTGGACTTCCTTGTGCAGTGAAACCTCAGTGGTAGGTTTTCCCTAGTCCAGTACACTTCATGTTTATCCAGGATGTCACTAAATCCAGGTATTACTTATCTGTTGTGTATTGTCTAGTTATCGAGATGATGACAGTGGCCCACGTGATGCTATGTCCCTTTAAGAGGAATTTGTTCCATGCTGTTTCTCTCGCAGAGAGGTGTTACCACTGTGATGCCAGAATGTCTACTTCAGAAGCTTTGAACTCCCTGAGTGTTCTTTTAATTTAGACAAACGAAGCAGGAGTGGATATAGCCAGGCTCACAGGGTTTTAGTTTTGCTTTTAGCTGAAGCTGGAGTTGGGGTTTGAAGCTGCTATATACAACTCTCTCTGCTGCAGCTAAATTTGAGTTCTTCCTCTCTGCTGCTAAATTGTTTCTTTCAGTGCTTCTGTCTCTTGAACTGGAGATAGCATAGGAGACAATCTGTTTTGTTGAATTTGCCATTGCCAAGCTTGTGCTTATGGGATGCTGCTATATTGGAACAGTTGACAAGTAATAGTTAATTGATATCTTTTTTGTTAAGCATTTCAATAAAGTTATTCCGATTCTTTTCTTTTCTTTGTTTGTATTTTAATTGTGGTATAAGAATAAAGTGTGGTTTGTTTAAAGCCTAGTAGTTTGATCAATTAATTGAATCACATCTGAGCACAGTGCCTTACACTTGCCTTTAAATAAATTAAAAGTTAGGGTCTAGGTTATCTCCTTGATATATTTTGAGGGGGTTTAATCTGGCCCATAACACCCAATATTCTTCCATGATGCACGTAACTGGGAATGAATGGGGAGTCACAGTCCTTGAGTCATACAGTCGTACAGCACAGAAGAGGACCTTCAGCCTATTATGTCCACACCAACTGATCAACACTTAATTCCCTTTCCCACTTTGTGATCCAATCTTGACTGATCAACATTTCAAGATTGCCTCTGTGAACAGCGGTAGGTTTGGAGGTGGACATGCATTTATTGTGCAAAGATGGATCAATCAGCTTTGATGCAAATAGTCTTCAGAAGGTGCTTGATGCATCCTAGATCATTTTCAACTCTTGCAAATGCTCCTGTCTCTTCTCTCAACCACCAGCTGACTACCTGATATTGATCTCCTGTCCAAGGACTACGTTCTGCAGACTCACAGCCCTTTTCCTCATCATCCTTGTTTCTGACAGGCAATCTCAGAACTGGTGTTATCTGATACTACTGTACACTGCAAAGCTTTGATTGCATCAACCATTTTCGGGAATTTCCTGGCATTCCCCTATTCAGAATTACCTTGCAATTGGCAGTGTCTGATGCCAAGTCAGTGTTGCACACCGAGTGGCCTTTCCTTTGCTTTCACCACACCACTATACGGTCAAAGTGTATGGCATCTGATGACAGTTTCAGCACAGTCAGCTCAAACTTGATTGTGAACTCCTGAAACAGTAGGACCAAGTGATTACACATCTTCACCACCCACTGAATCGTCAGTAGTATGACTTATGGGGAAAACAGTTGATAAATAGATGCAAGAATTGGCAATTAGTTAAGAATTGTATAGGTCTATAAACCGGTATGTAGCACATTATTGTTAGTCTGTTGAAAGCTAACTTGTTGGTTTCAATGTCAGGGACGGCAGTATTATGCAAAAAACAATGCCTTTGCACAACATTCAGGTGTGATTTGCAGCCAATTAAAATAATTAGGTAGTTCCTTATAAGAAATGTGGCAACTGATGTGTGTGCAGCAAAGTCCCCTGGCAGCTGCAATTACTGGGTAATTTGTTCTTAACGAAACAACAGAGATTAAGGTGGATGGAATAGATACATTGGGAGGTGGGAGGGAAGCTGGATTAAAAAAAAGAGATAAGAACGGAAGGAGTTGATGGGGTGAGATGAGAAAGGTTAGATGAAGGACCAAGTAGAGTCCAAAAATCTGGCAGACACTACAAGGGCTGGTACTGTAAACACTGTGTGATGCCTATGATGATTGAATATCCATTTTTGAATGGAGTAGTGGCTTGAGTGTCTTTCCCAAACACGCACACGAGGGATCCCGAAAAGCAGATTAAAAAGATGAGCTCAATTAAAATTGAGAGGGTTGGACGTACCAAGACACGCCCTTTAGACAACATTCGGGTAGAGTGGGCGGGGAAAAGCTGCCCGGCAGCTTTCGATTGGCTGCGCCCGGGCGTGTATCCGTTCGGGCCGTGCTCTGACGTCAAAAAGGCGCGGCAAATGAATCACGTGGAGCCAGAAGTTGAGGGCGTATTGATTTGGAAGAAGGGAAACATGTGCGAGGTGACCGCAGCAAATTTTCAATTGCTGTATCCTCAGATCAAGGAGGAGATTGGAAACTGTGACTTTGTAGGTGAGAATCCTGCAAATCAGACAGTGAGGGGAGAGGGTTTAATCCCCAGCTTGATTTTAGCTGTGTTTTCAATCAGGCCACATCTGTGTGCAAGTCATTTTTAAAAAGATATCCTTGCAAGTTAACCCAATGGATTCTCATGTTCTGAGTGTTTGTTTTAAGTAATTTAACCTTGCTTCACCCCCCACCCCGCCTTGTCCCCGCAAAAAGAAAGCGCACCCATTCCCTGACAACA